TTAATTTTGTAAACATTTTTAAACGGAGCTTTTACAATTTCCTAAAATCTTGTCGAAATTGTAAATATTTATTTTCTACACTTATATAGAGTGTTAGATTTTTTTCAGATTTCTATAGTGTTCATGTACGAAAAAGCATCTCACCTAAAAATACTATTTCCCTAGAAATTTTTAAGTTTCCTAGAAAGAATAAAATTTACATATAATCAGTAAAACTATGCGACAAGAGCTATACATAAGTATTTTAAAAAGCAAGTAGAGTCAATTACTCGCATCTTCCAAAGTTTATTACTGCTTCTTTTCCGCGATGCCAATTGGTTCTCTCGCTGCATTAACTTCATGAGCAGCTGTCATCGCAGAGATCGTTTAGATAGTTGTATGTATATCAAAAGGTTAATAGTATAATCATATTATATTAACTTCTGTTTCCTTTTGTTTAAAAAAATATATAGCACGCGCGTAATATGCATCTGTGATATCTAATTTTGCAAAAAGCACGCTGACTAGGACAATGACGACAACATCCGTGACGATATAATAACGATTATTTTAATTTGTAAGATGAAATATCCTCGTCATCTACAGAAATCTCGTTAAATTTATTTAATCGTTATATAAATTTTTATTCATAAAAACTTTTCATTTTTAACATATGACTAATATTTTTATTATAAACTTTCATAAATATTTGTAGTTAACTTTTCTGTGATCTAGAGCATTTGACGTTTTCAAATTTGGTGACAACTGCATCAATTTATTTCTATATTATAAGACCTATCTTCAGTTTCTTGTAAATAGAGAAATCTTTTTAGTATAAGGCTTTTCTGAACAAATTAACGTGTACTGAACCGTGTCTGTGAACAAATGAACTTAATGAAGATCCTTCTTCTTAATGACATAAATTTCATATTTTTCTTTGCTAACGATAAGTGTAATGCAACATGTACAATATTGATCAACATTTCATAAATGTTTCACAATTAAAAAAAATAAGATTAATAATATAACTTGATAATAAAAAAGAATTGAATCATGCTAATTCTTATATATACAATGTGACAATGTCACGATTATACCAGAGAAAAGTATCAAATTTTTAAACCATATTCTCAACATTCAGCGTTAAATATAGCTGCTTCGGCTTTGTTTGATATTTTTTTATTGGGCCTGATTAAACAAATACATAGCTAATGAAATAAATTAAACTCAAAGATATACGTATATATGATTTAATTCTGATATCACGTTTAATTATGCGTTTAATTATAAGCGAAGTGTCTATCATGTTACATTACATAGTGCATTTATTGAAAATTTAGCTCGGTGGAACACACAATATTTTTTTTATAGCTCTTTTCGGATTCCCACACTCGGACATTTCACCGGTAATTTCCGTTCTGAAAACAATGGAGTCTTGACGCTTGCCGTATCCACGTTCGTCTTCAAAGGTAAAGTGACGGCAACAATGCGAGAAAACACATTATGATTTCGTATTAAAGAGGCAAGAGTTTTTGCAATTGTGATAATTGGCATGAAAGTAACGACTAGCGGTAGTTTTTGTATTCGAGCTCAGATGAATGCCATCTTGTTTCATTTGTTACAATTTGCTCGTACGTTTTACCATTTTATATATCTTATATATATATATATGGAAATTAAATTACTCGCATTGTTAGGCGCGCTTTTACGCACACATAAGAAAAAAAGAAAGAGATATAACAGTTTCTTCATTAAGAGGATCCTCGAAAAAATTCAAATGAGATTGTAGTTTCTCGCGAAAATAAAAAGTTTAAATAAAAAAAATGTCAATACGTAAAGAATAGCATCTTATGGGGCGACAATAATTCTCGTATTTTCGGCAAAGATAAGAGATAAATGGCATTTATATCTATTTATTAATACGATTATTAAGAAATAATTAATAACAAATTATCTTTTTTATTTATCATTATTTCTACTGTATTGTATACAGTGCTATATCGCAAAGCAGAAACATGAAATCGTACAAAAATCTTCGAGACAACAATATTTACGGCTATGCTTTTGACCTATGTTTTTGCGCTATGCTTTTGCCATGTAATTTTTAGTTACAGTCGTGTTCACACTATATTAAAAACTACATTCCTTAAATTGTGTGTTTCTTACAACTTGGCGACAATTGTTTATTGAAATTTATCAATCTTATTTATTGATCTTTTCGTTTGAAGATCTCTTGTTGTAAACCGTTGATGATAAATGGAAGTATGCGATACAGTTACCTTAATTAATTAGTTGGATGTTTTTTTGAATTTCGTGGTCACACGTGTAATTACAAATAAATGAAATTATACCCGTCCGGTTTTAATTATGACCCGTCGTATTAATTGCGTACGCAATCGGCATAACGCGGCATTTGGAGAGTTGTGTTTTTATTATCACACTCGAATTCACTGCGCTCCACTCCGCTCCGCGAGGTAGCTGGAGGTTTACTGACACCGGCGCAGAACAACCGGCACGATGTAACGCAGAGTACACCGCGCGTTGAAGCGCCTTCACCTGCTTATAATGTAAGCAGAGTTTATCCGAGTTTATCTCACGATACGTCACGCGTGCTGTGACTGAACGAGCACGTATATCCGTACGTATATATATATATATATACGTACACATCGTCGCATATTTACATACGTGTACTGATGTAACCGACCGATAAAACCGACGTAATGTTCACTTATTGTTTGCCTGTTGAATAATCACAAAATGCAAATATAAGAAACGCAAATATAGAACTACGATTATGCTACAAATAAATTAATGTCGTCATTACGTCACTATTATCAAATTTATGAATTAAAACAAAAACTCTGATTATGCAATATGTCATACATACATGTTACACATGTTACGTATATATGTCAATAGTTTATTACGTTATCAATCTCTTATCGTTTATATCTATTATACAATTATAATCGTACGTTCGTAATCAGCAATATTTAAATAGAAAACAATTTCTTTGTCTTTCCCACTCTCTTCCTACGTGTGTGTTATCTATCTATCTATCTATCTATTTATCTATCAATCATCTATCTATCTATCTATCTATCTATCTATCTATCTATCTATCTATCTATCTATCTATCTATCTATCTATCTATCTATCTATCTATCTATCTATCTATCTATCTATCGATCTGTTTTTCTATTCATCTATTCATCTATCCATCTGCCTATTTATTTATTTTAATTGAGTTTTTAAATAAAACAATATGTTATAATGCTTATTTAATAATTTCTTCTATAAAATCTCAATTCCAAATAACATTTCATGAAAGAAAGCTTTAAAATTTCTAAACTATAAAGTGTGTATTTAAAATATCCTTGTGACGTCTGGATAGAACGAACTATGATATATCGGTCATAGTCTAATAAATTTCCATATCCGTGAAAACTATTAATTTTGTCGCGCATGTATTCAATAGGAAATTATCCGTAGAAACCGTTTCATCTTACATCAAGCGTTTCACCTAGATCAATAATTCAAATTTTAATAGTAGATCTATGTAGTTAATAGGCCTGTTCTTTTTGATTAAACTGGCTGCACTAGTTCACAGTTTATCTTTTTTTCTTACACTGGAAGAAGACTCTGAACTAGTGCAGCCAGTTCAGTTAAAAAGAACAGACTCAATGAAACAACATTTATATTCTAATGTCAATATGTCACATATATTTTAATCTTAAAGTTAATGTTTTATTTATAATTTTCAGCTTGATATTTGATATGTATCAGAATTTTCATGTTTATTGTTATATTTATTATTGTGTTCACTTTTCTTTAAAAACGCCATAGAACGTCTTTTAATCAAATCTTCACAGACGTCTCTTTTCAGAAAACATTCTTTTTAAGACGTCTTAAAGACAGAATTAACAGACGTCACAAAGATTCTTTTTTAATATTTTAGTCAACTCTTACTGGACTTCTAATGCAAAGTGCGCTTTAAAGTATGGAGTGTTAGCTTTAAAATACTTTTTTTTATGGAGCCCGATGCAATCATTTCTCGCCGAGTTATCAAATTTAAAAAGAACGCTGTTTTTAATTACACTAAACATTACATTAAAAAAAAAATGATCGAGCTCCGTAAAGGAGCATTTTAAAGTATCTCCGTACCTTAAAGCGCATTGGGCTGTGATACCTGATTCACATCGACTGTGCATCGTCGCATTGATACTCCTGGAAAATGGCCGCGGCTTCCAAACGGCGCCAACACAGGCCACGATTCAATGCGACGAAAAATAATTAATCAAAAAGAAAGTAGTTGTGTGAGTAAAGATAAAAAAAAAAAATTTGCGTGATGAGCAAAAACCGAAAATGCGCGATGATGCAACACAAAAATCATCGTAGGGACAAAACACGTCCCCTCAACTCAACGGCCCGAAGGCGACTCGGTGCGTCGTCGCAAACGTCGGATCACTGTGATTGGTCAGGAACAAGCGATAAAGAACAGAAATCCAACGCGTCGAAAATTTTATTTCTATTCCCTGTTCCTGTTTTGTGTTTTTCATTGTGCATTGATACACGGTTTCCCCAGAAATTGAAATTTGTTATCTGCGTTATTCCCTGTTCCTATTGCCTGTGTTTTTTATTGTCCAGCATCCAGCTTAGTGCTGCCAACTCCGTTCACGATCAGTATCTGCACGAGGATTCAGCCTTAATGCTACATTCACCACCGCTGTTCGTGGAGTTCGCACTTGCTAGCGCTATTTTGGCTTCGCGAACGGAGTTGGCAGCATTAGCGTTGATAGCGTTGATAGTAAACTCCCCGACCCACCTCCGGTCGCACGCGTTGTAATCAAGATGGCATCTACGGAACAAGTTGGACTGAACAAAACATGGGAATTATCACTCTACGAATTACACCGTACTCCGCAGGATGCGATCACCGACAATACAGAAATCGCCGTCAGTCCCCGCAGTCTGCATAGTGAACTTATGTGCCCTATTTGTTTAGATATGTTAAAAAAGACGATGACCACCAAGGAGTGTCTCCACCGTTTTTGCTCGGACTGTATCATTACAGCTTTACGTAGCGGCAATAAAGTACGTTAAAATAACAAATTTATATTTACAACACTGCGAATAAGATCGTTCTGTGTCTTTTTACAAAATATTTATATTTATATAAAATATTTGTATTATATCGTACGTATAGTATAATATTCGTGTATCATTAATGCATTTTCTATTTATAGAAATATAAAAAAATATTCTTTTCCAGTAAATAAATTGCAATATGCTAATAAAATTTTCCAGTAAATAAATTGCAGTATGCTAATAGATTCAAATTAAATTCAATTAACAATTGTTTAGAAAAATGACATCAATTTTGTCTGTATTAAGTTTGTAATTTTATTAGCAGAACCTGTTGTCATAACCTAATCATAAATTGAGCAGAATCTGTCAAGGATTTTGCACTGTTCATGGTGTTAATCTATATCAAATTATGCAACAAGTATATTAAAGTCTACTTGATTTCTGTCATTAATCTACTGTCATTTTGTTAAGGAATTGTTAGCATTTTATCAATAATATTATATTTAAAAATGGCTCTAAAATTTATTATATATATTTTGCAGAGTTTATTTCTAGATATTTAGCTAAGTATTGCAATCATATTACACACACACACACAAACAAACAATAATAATTACCTCAAGAATCTTATGATCAACAGATTATATATAGAGAATATCCATTGCTATGGCAAATTGAAATCAGGAATAAGAAATATAGGAATAAGTGAAGTGTAGGAATAAGAAATGTCGTGATTATAATATTCTTTAATGCTTTAATATTCTTTTGAATAAAACTTTTATTCAAAAAATATTACAAAATATTTCAAAAAATAAATCCTTAAGTAATATTTTTTACAATAAAAATTTAGGATATTATATATTGTAATTAATTATGTATCTGTAGTAAAAATGCAATTATTTTATTAAAAATTAAAATTAAAAAAGCATTGCATTTTTATGTATCTAAATAAAATGTATATACATTATATATGTTTATATAAAAATAAATTTACATTATAAGGAATCTTTGGAAATTCCTAAAGCATTCTTATAATTGTTTTGTAATGTCATTTACAGGAATGTCCTACATGTCGAAAGAAATTGGTTTCTAAGAGATCTCTTAGACCAGATCCAAATTTTGATTTGCTAATCTCAAAAATTTATCCGAGCAGAGATGAGTATGAGGCTCATCAAGAACGAGTTTTGGCTAAGCTGAATAAATCACATTCACAAGCTGCACTCGTTAATTCTATTACAGAGGGCATTAAATTGCAAAGTCAAAATCGTCCACAGCGTTCAAGAAAGAATGCCAATGAATCTGATAATGCAAATAATGCAACATCTTATAGCAATACGCCAAATATTAGCACACCTACAACACCAAATCCATCTACAAATGTAGCAAATCAAAGTGATTCGTCTCAAAGTACAACAGGACTTATGAACAGTGGAGGTACGACTAAATTCTTAAAAAACTAATGTTATTTTTTAATGTACAAATAGTTCGGCAGTTTTTCTGGATTATAACAACTTATATAAATTTTATAATATTAATGTAATTTTTATATGTATTTGTAGGAACAACATCTAGAAATTCTACTACACCATCACCAAACCCTGCAAATCAAATTCCAAAACCATCAAAACGACAGAAAAGCCTTCAAAATTCAGAAAATGATTCCTCTAGTGCAGAAGCTGAGACAGGTGGTGGGGATTCTATGGTTGATACAGAAGGTGAAGGTCCTAGCGAGCCTTTAATGCTCAATGAAATTGAACTTGTCTTTAAACCACATCCTACAGAAATGGCTGGTGACAATTCTCTAATAAAAGCATTGAAAGAAAACAGCATTCGTTATATAAAAACAACAGCAAATGCTACAGGTAAAATATTTTGCAAATGTATACATATAGATAAGAAGAAAAAGTTGTGAATACATATAATAGATATAAATATATTGAAAACATGAAATGAAGAAACAATTTTTTCAGCAAGTATTAACAAATTATTTGTTTCGCAGTGGATCACTTAAGTAAATATTTGGCAATGCGTTTAACGTTAGATTTGGATACAGAACTGTCGGAATCAGATAGACTATTAAATTTCTGTATCTATATCGCACCTTCACCTGGACAACTTGTAGTATTAAGTGGTTCGCAAACATTACGACAAGTGAACGATAAATTTTGGCGTGTCAATCGACCTTTGGAAATGTATTACTCATGGAAAAAGACCTAGGGAAGACTTCGGAAGTATCAGTCGGACGGGAGCTAATTGCTCCGAAAAAAAGGATAAATAGTTATTTATATTATATGTAAGAAAATACAATAAAATATATATCAAATATGGAAAATATGGAAAATACACACACACATATACATATATATATATATATATATATATATATATATATATATATATATATATATATATATATCTATTGATCTTGTTGTATTTCCATGTTTTCAATTTGAACACAACAAGAAAAGTTCATAAGCAAACGTTCATAATCATTTATAATGGTGCAATTTTTATATCTTTAGAACCGATTGCAGTAACTTTCTGTGAGAATTAGATAAGACAAAAATATCTACAAAACTGATTTAAGTGTCATTGTATATCCGGTACTATGTCGTTCGAACTAGTTTCATATATTATGCAATAACTATATTTAATCAGCAAATTCAACTATATAAATATTTTTTATTGAACTATGTTTTATTTAGATATTTAATATATTATTTTAAATAATTTTTTTATGTTGTGTATTTGTGTATAATGTTATATTATTTTATTAAAATGAAATGTTTTTTAAATAATTTAAAATTTAAAGAAGGTTTGTCTAAAAGAACATATAATGATTTTGCAACTAATTATTATAAACAAATTATTAGAAATTGACTGTAGAGAAAAAACTGATTATGCTAATCGATTATACAGAGAAAATTATTAAAAAGACATGTGGCGAAAGGAGAAAGTATTCTCTTTCTTAAATCATTCTTTGTTTATGTAAAACATTATTTGTTTATAAAGTAATTGCAAAATTGATTTTTATAATGTACTTTTTATGTCAGAAATATTTTTTTATGGTCTTATTTCCAATAATTATTTTTTGGCTATCCTTACTGGTCTATAGGGCTTTAATGGATTAAACTCCAATAGCACTCACTTCAAATAATTATATCTTTTATCTATTGATTTTTGGACTTTTTGTCAGAAGAAACTTTTGATCAGTATCATCTGAAACGTATTTCATTTTCGGCCGATTAAACCGAAGTCACTTTTTTCACATAAAATATGCGGAATCCTTTTAATACATCAACTAGTTAATCTCAGTTAATCTCAGTTAATCTCAGTTTATAAATATCAATTAGATCATTTTTTTCAACTGATTATTTCTCATTGGATCATTGCACGCATTAATTTTTATTTTGAATTTTTTTATGTTTTACATTGAAATTTAATTAAAATTTTCATGAAGTAATACCGAAAATAAATTAATATTATTAATTAATCAATTTCAATAATTTGTATAATATTTCAATGTAAGTCATTATTGCAATTTCAGTAAAATATTTTCATCAATGATGTATCCAAAACCGTTGAATTAAAAAAGTTGAATTTTCTATTCTTTTGTAAGAATTTAAAAATACATATAAATATATTTGTATGTATGTAATTAAGAGTGATTTCAAATTTGTTTATCGCATAACGTATAATCATGTTAAAATTCATACATTTACATATGTGGCATCGCGACATATGTGACAATCAGCTTTTTAAAGCTGAAGCTTCGGCCATCTTCGGTGCTGATCGACATACTTCGTGCGATTCCTCGGCATACTTGCTCTGTCTGCTGTTCTATCTGGTGTCAATGAGAATTCAGTGGGGGAGTTCAGTCGTCGTTGCGCGCTCGTTTAGGTTGCGTCGGGTTTGTGTTAATTTAGTATCTTGGTATTGTGCATGTAAATGTATATTATAATCAAATATCGGTTAAAATTCAATTCCGCGCAATACTATTATTAGTTCAGCATAACATTACTTTTGTGATTTCTCGTAAATTGCTGAAGAATATGTACAAAAAGCTTAGGTAAGATTCTTTTTAAATTAATTCAAGATTATCTTAAAATATATATTTTTTAATCAAGATTGCTTTCTAATTTGAAAGGAAAGATAATCTTAAGATTATCTTTTAATCCATTTTGTTAAAGTCTTATTTTAATTCACTTAGATATTGATATGCATTAAGTGTAGAATGTTGATAAAAGCTTTTTGCGATTTGCTGTTTTTTCATATATATATATATATATATATATATATATATATATATACTACACT